AAGGGCATAATTTCTGTAAATTTATTAGCTAGCCATATTGGTGACTATCATCATCATATTATTTTTCTATTATATTGTCTTGTGGTAAGGAATATCACTGCCTCATGTATCCATTATTTCCTTCAGTTCAATAGATGGTTTCTAAATTTCTTATTTAGTTGCCTTGTCCTTGGGTGCACTGGTTTATACTCATGACCACAACAGTGATTATTATTGTGTAGAGAGGAGAAGGATAAACTCATGAAGGCGAAGTGCCCTCCATAAAATTTGAACCATTATGGTGATTAAAAAATCATTTTTGTAAAATGATAAATCAATTTTAATGTTTGACCTATGGTTTGAATTATAAAATAAATGGTTAAATATGTTTATGTTCTTAATTTATATTTTTTTTGTAATTCACTTTTAATCCTTTCCATAAAATGTTTAGTCCTTGTAATTGTTTTTAGTATTTATTATTATGTATAATTGCATTGACAATCATGTGACTAGTGAACTACTAATTTAATATGATCTTACATGATAAAATGTTGGGTCAAGATATTCTTTTGGGAGTTTTATAAGGTGATACAAATGTTTTGGTGATATAAAACTACAAAAGAAAAAGGTTTGAAATTTTGAAACGACTCGCAATACACAAATCAGAAATCCTTAACTATGATCCAAACCCATTAGGATGGCAATATAGGAAAGGTATTATATTACTTGTCTCAATAATTGTTTTAAAAAAAAATAGATGTGCTCAATGTCATACTCGTATAGATAGCAATTTTAATTTTATATTGATATCATTTGTTGGAATTCTTTGGGTCTTAAAAAAAATGTTGGCACTAACTACTTTTAAGATGGTTGTAGAATCAATATTCAAATCATAAATTGAAGGGGTCATTTATTAAAACAAGATTTCTCTAAAATATATAGAAGTATTAAATTCCATACAAAATGTATTATAATTATTATAATGATGTGTTTCCTTTCTGATGATTGATGTAAGAATAGAAAATATATTTAGAAAAGGAACTAAACATTTCTTTTATAAACACCAAATATTATAAATCGTGCTATAAAAAAATCTTTATGAATATATAATAAAAATTAGAATCATAACCACATTTTTTAAGAAAATTTTTTATTGATCAGATTCTAAAAGTTTATTAAATTATAATAAATTGTTACTCACCAAACTATCTTTTACAATACTAGTAACTAATAACTAATAGGCATTTCACAGTTTGTAATTATATAAAATTTTAAAACAGAAATTAAATTTTTTTTCTCTCTATAATTTCACTTATTTTATCTTTTAGTTTTTATAATTTAAAATAAATATTTTTAATTTTTATATTTATTTTTTAATTTTTATCATTTAAAATAAACAAAATATTTTTTTATTTTTGTTTATTTATATTTGTTTTGTTTTGAAAGTCTAAACTATGCATGACATTCTAACCCGATCCCATGGATATCCGTCTGAACTAACCTCAATTTAAATAGGAAAAATTTATGTTGATTTGGTTCGAGTTCGAATTTTTCTCGATTGATAAAATCGGGAATGGGGACGAGGATGAAGATGTTAATACCTATCCCACCCCGTCCTGCTTAATAATATAATTAAAAAAAAACTACCCTTATATATATAAAGAGAGAGAGAGGAGGGTCATAATAACACCGGTATAACTTTTACTAAGTATTACACTGCTCAATAACTTTATATTAAATATAAATTTTATAAATCCAACCGTTAGATTGAAAATTCATATCACTTTAAATGCTTATATCAAATTTTGTTAAAATTAAACAATAACTTGAAGGTATCAAAATGTGCATATTTTAATATATTTTGAAATGTATATATTACGTCAATTTTATTTTATAAGAATGAAGTATTAAATCATCTTGAATTAATATAAAATTTTGTATATATGACCTAAGAGGAAAAAACATTCAACCTAATGGAATTTATAAAATTCACATTTAATATAAAGTTATTGAACGGTGTAATATTTAGCAAAAGTTATACCGATATTGTTATAACCTTCCTCATATATATATATATATATATATATATATATATATATATTTATTTATTTATACATCACCTACATAATTTTTTCTTCTTGTATTAAAAGTTGTACATTTACCATCTTAGAGACAAAGTTAACTATATATATATATATATATATATTTATTTATTTATACTAATATATAAAGGGGATACCATTTTCGGTAATCACCTTGGTCTCCACTTTTTTTTAACTATTATACCCTTTTATTTTAAAAATTTATAAAAAAAAAATATTTTTTAATCAAATTTAAGAACTTGAAACTAATAAATTTATACTAATACTAATATATAAAGGAGATACCACTTTTAATAACTACTTTAGATTTCTATTTTCAATAACTACCTTTTTTAGAAATAATTTTTCATTTTTTCATTTTTTCATTTTTATTTATTATTTTTCTTTTAATACAATGCAGGTCTTTTTCCTGCTAGTATATATAAATCAAAATCAAAAACCTTTATATGTAAAAATTGTATTATCTTATTTTATTTTATTTTTTAAAATTTCTTTTCATATTTATTAGAAACAAAAAAAAGAGTGGGTGTGAGACGGGAAAACCTGAACCCCATCGAGGATGGGATGAGTACCTAGTTGCGATACCTAGCCTAAACTGTATCAATATAAAATAGACAATGTTATAAAAAAAATTAACAATTGAGACTACAAGAGTTAAAAAATGATAAATATAAAAATTAAAAATATCTATCTTAAATAAACAAATTTAGAGAATTAAAAATACCTATTCTAAATTATAAACTGAAAAGTAAAGTAAAAAAATGACTTAAAAAGTATTTTAAAATAAATCTATAATATTTATAATAATATATAAGATAATTTATCAATTTTTGTGTACACAAATTTTAAAATATTTTTATTTATTATTTATTATGATAACTACATAACCTTTTTAATAAATAACAATTTAATAATTTTATTTAATTAATTTAAATAAAAATTATTATTTTTTAAAAATAAACTACTACAACATAACCATTTTATAAATATCAAATCCCAAAACACTAAAAAGTAAATAAAGTCAGTAAATGCATTAATAGATTGAGAATCTGAGCCATTACATAAATTAAAATATACCACTATTATGATAACATATTTTGATACATTACTGCTCTTGAAACGTGGAGATCATATGATAACCTTCGTACGTATGTTTCAAAGTGAGGATTGGACTGAGTGAGATTAAGATAGCGCCCATCACAATCATTCACAATATTATTATTTGATACACATTCACACATTCTCTCTCTTCAATTTCAATGGCGGATCAGAGCCCGAAACCAGAGACCTTCGAACTCAACAATGGCACTATCCAGGTCCTCCTCACCAATCTCGGATGCACCATCATCTCCTTATCCGTGCCAGGAAAAGATGGTTTTTTTTTTTTTTTTATCTATTCCAATTTTTCCTTCTCATTTTCATTCATTGATGTTTGTTTTTCTGATGCATGACATGCTCTCTCTGTGTGTTTTCAAGGGGTGTTATCCGACGTCGTTCTTGGCCTCGACTCTGTTGAATCCTACCAGGTCCCATTTGATTAATTAGTTTTTTGTGGCTTGGATAGGCTTATTTGGTTGATGGGCATCATGTTTTCCTTTTCAAAATTCTACCTTTCAGGTTTAAACAATTAAATGATGGATTGAATGACCTCTAAGGAACAATGGAAGTGATACTTTGTGGAAAAAATGACCAATTTAGTTCATGAAAATGTGATTTGCTGTCACTTTAACCCCTAGAATTAACAAAATTCAACTGTGATATAGTTATCTTAGTCCAAAGTTGCATGCAATGTGTGATTTAAGTGATGATATTAACATATGTTTTAAGGACCAAAATTAGAGTAAGTGGTTTAGGGACTTGGATGAAACAAGTTGCGGTTTCAAGGATTTTTTATTTATAGAATTTCGTTAAATCTACCTTTCACATTAGCTTCCCTTGCTTCGTGTATCATGTGAATAATTTTCAGTTTTACTCTGATGGGTGATTTACTGAATTTACCTTGCTTGCAAGCAGAAAGGTCTTGCTCCTTATTTTGGCTGCATTGTGGGTCGGGTTGCGAACCGAATTAAGGATGGCAAGTTTACACTTGACGGGGTTCAGTACACTTTGCCTGTCAACAAACCCCCAAACAGTCTCCATGGTATCAATTCTATGTTTGTATAGTCTTCATTCGTGATGTCTTTTGTCCAGGATGTTGAAATTGCCAATTGTGGATTGTGTATATGATAATTATTTTTCCTTAGAAAAAGTTTTTGCCATCTGAAGTACTGCATTATGATTAAGGTCTGATTATAGAAGTTGATTATGAAAATATGAACTATTATTTCTAACATACCTATTCCATTCCATTGAAAATTGACTTTGAAAATAAAGGGAAAGGACACATAGATTTGTCATGGACATGGGCAATACAACATTGGGCCTGTTTGGATAAACCTCTTCATAAGAACTTCTAGGAGAAAAAGATAAGTAAAATCAAAATAAATTTCTCTCAAGTTAAAACTAGCTTATGCACAAGTTAAAAATAAAATTTTGAAGAAGCTAATATGAGAGAATCTTTACAAATTAGCTTATGTATAAGCTAATTATGGAGAAACTTATTTCATTTTTTCTTACTTTTGTTCTCTTTTAAAAGTGATTATGGAGAAGTTTATCCAAATAAATTCTTTATCTCCAAGTCTCAAGAATGAAGGACTATCTAACAATAGATGTTATTGTGTGCTCCTTCCACTAATACTATGATTCTGAAATGAAGTTTGAAATAACATTGTCTCAAGTGTTCTCTAAAGAAAGCAAATCACACTCTTACAATAATCTATGAATATTGTATGCTGTTTTCCTGATACTCTGTCCCCTCTCCAAATTTCAGGTGGAAATGTTGGATTTGATAAGAAGGTATGGGAGGTAGTTGAACATAAAAAAGGGGAAACCCCCTCAATCACTTTTAAGTATCACAGTCATGATGGAGAAGAAGGTAGTGTATTGTGTATATACTCCCTTTCTCCTCACTTTTAAGTATCATCATGTTCTTCTTTCCCTTGATTTGGTTTTTGTTTTCTGTTACATAAGGTTATCCTGGGGATATCACTGTTACCGCAACTTACACACTCACCTCAAGCACAACTCTGAGGCTTGACATGGAGGGAGTGCCAAAAGACAAGGCCACCATAATTAACTTAGCTCAGCATACCTACTGGAACTTAGCTGGCCACAACTCTGGGAACATACTTGACCATTCAATTCAGTTATGGGCTAATCATGTCACTCCCGTGGATGAGAACACCGTGCCAACAGGTGAAATCAAGCCGGTGAAGGGTACCCCTTTTGATTTTACATCTGAGAAGAGAATCGGCGACACCATAAACCAGGTCGGAATGGGATATGACCACAATTATGTGCTTGATTGTGGGGAAGAGAAGGCTGGTTTGAAACACGTGGCGAAAGTGAGGGATCCATCAAGTTCAAGGGTTCTAAACTTGTGGACAAGTGCGCCCGGTGTGCAATTTTACACTGCAAACTATGTTAATGGTGTTCATGGAAAAGGAGGTGCTGTATATGGAAAGCATGCTGGCTTGTGTTTGGAGACACAAGGTTTTCCTAATGCCATAAACCAGCCAAATTTTCCATCTGTGGCAGTTCGTCCTGGTCAGAAATATCAACATACCATGTTGTTTGAGTTTTCACTTGAGTGATGATGTTGTTGGAGTGGCATAGCAATGAGGTAGACATCTTGTTCTGCATATTATGATTCAGAACCTGAACTTTGGCTTCTCCTAAAATTATCACTTGTTTGCGGTTGAATAATTGCATGACAATTTCGTTGTCTCAAGTTTCAACACCACATTGCAAGCTGTGCTGTGCTGTTTTATCACTCTTGAATTTTGAAATTATATTGCAAAATGAATCCATCTTTCTAAGAATCAGTATCATCCATCATTTTAACTACATTAACTATAAGCCTTTTTTAAGTTAAGATTATTACTTCCACCGCAACCGCATTTGCTGATATGGATTTATCTTTATTAGGCTCCGTTTGGAAGAAAAAAAAAACTTATAAATAACTTATTTAAATTTATCTTATTACTACTAGTAGGGTCAAGGTACTAAAGAACCTTAATATTTTATTTAATAGAATTGTTTAAAAATTATTAATATTTTATAGATCAATTGATATTATATTTAATTTTTAAATTTAAAGATCTTGAATTCGAATTTTATATTTGTAAAAATGATTAATTTTTAATATTATTTAAAAATTTAAGAGTAAAATTATCTAAAATAATGTGTACACTATATCAAACAATCTCTTTTATAACATCTTTTATTATATGTTATAAATGTTATAAGTGTTTGGGAGAGCTTTTGAAAATATCTAGACCAATCCATAAGATGTTTTTAATTTATTTTCATAAGTTTTTCAAGATAACTTATAAGAATAAATCAAGTTTAAATATGTTTTTCGTCTGAATAAGTTTTAGATTTGGTGTGTCTATTTTTTTTTATAAATTTTTTTATTTCTATAAAATTTAAAACTATTACTTTTTAGTTTATGTTATTATATAATAATTTTTAACTACTTATTTATTAACAGGTTAATTGATCATCTTAAGTGTTATTTATTTAATTGATCATCTTAAGTGTTATTTATAACTGTTAGTGAAATTATGTCAATGTATGACATTTCTAGAATTTTTTATAGTTCCTTAAAAAAATGATTTATTTACATAAAATTATTATTAGGGACCAAAAATAATATTTTATATTTTAGAGGAATGAAAATCAAAATAAAAATATTTTGCAGAGATCAAAATCAAAATTTACTATATTACAAGGTCTAAAAATATTTTACAAGGACTAAAATCAATGTTTTTGAATTTTAGAAGAATGAAAAATAAAGAATTTTTTTTATAAAGATCAAATTCAAAACTTGTGTATTTTATAGAAACTAAAAAAAATAAGTCATGTGAAACCTATGTAGTACGGATTCAAACACGATACAGAGACACGTACAGATATAGGAATATGGAAAAATCAAAAATTATAAGACATGTGGAAAAGATATATATATATATATATATATATATATATATAATATAAATAATATGACAAAAATATTATATATTATATATTAATATAACAATAATCTACTATGTCTAAAAAATTTTATTAAGAAACATACTATTCATAATTTTTTTTAAAAATCTTGAATCTACCCTTCATTGTTTTTATTTATATTAAAAAATTTCTTTTCTTTTATGTGAAAGTTAAGTAAGAAGAGATAAAAACAATTCTATTTATTATTTTTTTTTATCAAATTTTTTCTTTTTTCTTTTTTTTTTTTAAAAAAAAACTCAAATCTTACCTTCTTTATTTCTATTTTTATCGAGATTTTTAAAAAAAAATTCAAAAATTTCCTTTTTTGTTTATTTTTTCATTGAGATTCTTTTTTTTTTTTTAAATCTCAAATCATTCCTTTTTTGTTTATATTTCTATTGAGATTTATTTTTTTTAAAAATCTCAAATCCACGTATCGAATAATACATTGAGATGGAGACATGTTCATTTGCAGGTGACAGGTGTCAATTGAGACACGTCAGTTTTGTTGGTGTCTGCGAGAGAGACATATTAAATTTGTAAGTATCTGTGATGGAGACATGTCCAGTTTGTGTGGATACGATCTGTCGAAGTGTTCGAAATGTGTACACATTATGTCTGCTCCTAAAGAGTGTCAGACTCGAGGACACGGCAATCTCATGCCGTATCTGTGCAACATAATGTGAAACTTACAAAAAGACCATCTTGTCAAGGCCAGATATAGTTTTTTTTTTCTCTTCTCTAAATTAAATGTTTCTTCTTCACCTAAATTAATATAAATATAAACTTCTACACAAAAAAATATAATAAATTAAATATTTGTATTTTATTCGTTACTAGTAATGTCTTTTTTTAATCTTTCTTTCAAAATTATTGTGTAGTGGTTGAGTTTTAAAAATGATTTACATTTTTATACTCATAGATTTATTTATAGTTTTATACATGTGAATGGTGAATATTTTAAACTTACATTATAATTTTAAGCTATATGTGATTTTAATTTTAACACCTTAATTTATATTTCAGTCATGCTTTGATTATTAAATATTTTAATTTTTAAAATTATTAATAGTTGCATGTTAAATTTTTATGTGTCTCAATTTTCTTTCAATTTGTGATACTTAAATTTTTATTTTTTAAAAAACTAAAAATTAGTAAAAGATGAAAACTAACTTTTATGTATAATATTTTTGTGGTATATATAATGTGATATATTAATTATTTGAATTATTAGAATCGGTATAGTGATATGAGATTGAACTAATATGTATATGATTTTAGAATTGAACCCTGTTGTCATTATTGTAATTTTACTAGATGAAAAAATATATTAATATATAATTAGTTTATATTTTTGATATTTTTTTATTATAAAATGAAAAAATATCTTATAAGTAGTTTTGACAATATATTCAAACACTTTAAAGTTATGAATAGTTATGTAACAATATATTCAAACAATGTCTTGTGTAAAAAAAATGCTTTTGTCTATATGCGATTTTTTTTATTTTTAATTTTCAAAGTACTTATATATTCTTGTATAATAACATCCTATTTGATAAGATCTTTTCCAAGTGGGTCCTTAATAGAGTGCACCAAAATTTAAATAAAATTAAAATTAAGAAACAGTAATAGAAAAAAAATTAAATTAAAAATTAAACGTAAGAAAAGTTGCATGGCTAAGGATAAAATAACTCTTGAAAATACTTATTTAAGGACGAGAATTCAAATTTATAATCTAACATTGAATAATAGTTTATTTACATGATATACAATTCAAATTTATAATCTAACACTGATTATATTGTATTCTTCTTTACTTGTTTGATAATAATGACAATATTTTTCTTTCAAAATATATTTTTAAATTGGATCAAAATTAACACGGACAAGACACGAAAAACTTGGTAATATATGTTAAAGTTTTTCCACTTTGGCCCCTACCTCACTTGTTTTCTAGATCCACCCGTGATGGTTTTCAAAATACAAATTCTCATCAGAATCAATGGATTATGCAATGTTTGGTTTACCCTTTGGTCTCCTTCAACTTACGTTTGTCCAAGTAAACTCAGTTTGGTAATATTTTTTATAAAAAAATTATATTTGCACAGCTAAATTAGACTTGAAACCAAGTTTCATTTGAAAGCAATATCAAGGTTGCTTTTGCAAAATGAAATTCATTCAAATTAAGTTTAAAAACTTTTAATCCAAACATGCATTTAAAATGTTTATAAGAATGAATACTGCCGTAAATCATATTGAAATGTTGCAAGTGTAAACATTGAGTTACATTACATGAAACAAACTCAAAAGGCCAAATACCCAATTTACTCGAACCTATCTAAAATGTTGCATGAGTATAGCCACATTCCATTTCCATATTTATCACATATTCAGGTCAAGTCATGTTTTGAGAAACCATACAATCAAATCATCTTACTTTGTCCGAACCAACTCAAGCGGTAATGTTTCCATTGCCAACTGAAAGTTAACAAAAACAAAATTGCTAGTCAGAAACAAACATGTCTTTGCCAGCTTAAAATAAAAATGATACTTCAATGTGAAGATTAATAAATGATCACAAATTTAACAATGGAGCTGCACCTACCCAGAGTCTCGGTGTTTTGGGATCAGATTTTTTGTGCAATTTACTTAGCTCTGACTGAAAGCTTATGACAATAGCAACTTTGAACTCAATTGAGAAGGGACTGCACCAAAATAATAACATTAACATCAGACTTAGTCCTTATGGTTTCGGTTTGCCGTAACCATGAGTTTTTACAAGCACATAGTAATTCACTAGAAGATATTTGTGAAATGAAAAGTGCTAAACTCAAAATGTTACAAACACATTGAAGGAGAATTATAATGTACCATTACTTGTGTGTGTTTGTCTAAGGGTCACTTTAATTTGCTAAAAATCATAGTACTGGACAAAACAAATATAATTATTTAACAATTGATTTACAAAAAAATCATAGAACAGGAGAAAAAAGATAAAAAAGGACAGGACAAAAATCTTACTTTTTATTACTCAATAAACCATTCAATAACTTTCGGTCCCATGTAAATAAACACTCACTACCATCATTGATATTTTACCAACAACACCCTAACCATTACCACCGCTGCCACCACCCACTACCATCCTATTCCTATTATAGTTGTCATTACCATTGCCACCAGCCCACCACCACCACCACCACTATAGTCATTGTCATCATAATTGTCACTACTATCATTCTCATTAAGATAATATTAATTTATTATGATAATTAGTACTACTTTTGATCATAATTAAAAACAACAGATTAAATTTTTTCCAATCATAATTTAAGCATCAATCATTAGTTTAAAGTTATTAAGGAATAAATTTCTTTTATACACTTAATTTATTGATAACTCTATTTCTTATACATTCACTTATAAGTTTTAACTAACATTAAATATAACAACCACTTAAAGCAAAAGGTATATTTTGAATAAAATTCGAATTTATGATAAAATTAATAAAAAATAGCAAACTTAATTAATTTTGTTGACCTTGATAATTTGTCTTATAATGCATATAATTAGGACTGAATGTGGTATTAAAAATGATATTGTATAAATTTGACATTATTTTACTTATGTTATCTATTATTCATCAAATAATATATAGAACAAAAAGTTGTGTAGTTACTTAAACATTTGTCGTGTGCTATTCTCTTTGTTTTATAGCTTAATGTGTATTATGTATCAAACACACCTTATTTTTGGATGTACCATTACTCATGTGAAATACATTGGAGAAGGAATCATCATGAAAACAGGACACATACCCAGCTAAGGTTGTTGGACAGGTCAAAAGACGCGGTAGTATTACATAAATAGGCAATGTCAGATTCCGGCATACATCTCCATCTGCTATCTGCTAAATGAAAAAATAATTAACAGCCAGTTTTGAATAGACATGCTCTAATACAAATCCAGCATCACTTGCCTGTGTTGTTTGAACCAGAGAGGTTTCTGTCACAATTTTGTCCCCAAGAAGAATGGACTCGACTCTAAACAACTGAAGGTCAATTGTCTGAATTGGAACTGCAGATGCTTCAACAGTTAACTCGCCATTAATAGGACCAGACAAAGAACATTGAGTAGAGATTTTTCCGGTCACCCGAAATCCACCTATTCATGAATATCTTTGTTGGATGAGCCATATGATCTTTCCTCATTGATGTTTAGTGTTTACATAATACAATTCAACTTTTCAAGTGCACTACTGATGTATTTTTTCCATGTAGTCTTAACATGTAACACAAAGATTAATATATATAGCCACAGAAGATGAGAGTTACAACTTGTGATTGAGATATTAAGGCATGAAAAAATTGCACAATTTTTCTTTTCTTTTCATCTGTCTTTGCAAGCGAACATGTTTACTCATTGAAGGTAAATCAACATACCAGATTTTATTTCAGGGAGTAGAGGATGCCTTTGAGTGTCTTGGGTAATGTAAAAGATTACCATCTCTGGAGAAAGTGGTCTTTGTAGAAGATCAGCTAAATTTTCCACAAAAGAGAGACCAAGTAGTTTAATAATTTATTCATTCACAAATAAAAATGAAGAATAAAGATCCAGACCAAACACAATCATACCTTTATCACTTTCAACAATGAACTCCGTTGTTGCTGATAATGATTTATGCAAGTATCCACGAGATATATCTACAGTTGCCAAATACTATAGAGGCTATGAATCACCAATCTTCTAAATTATGTAAAAAATTTAAAAGAATAAAATGAAGAGAAATAGGCTTGCAAAATGATGTGATTCTGAAAATATGGCCTCAGCCTCACCAAACCTTGGTTACCAAAATGATGTGGCACTTTCATGCTCAGTGACAGTGCAAGTGTGCAACTAAAAGAAATAATTGGCCGTGGATCAATTTTAAATTCTTCAGTAAATATCAAGAAAAGAGATGAAAAACAATATTAGGACAGTAGAAAAATAATAATAATAATAAATTAATAATAGTAATTCCATCATAAAGATCAGTTGCCCAACAAAGCGCATTCTAAGAAAATTTTACCTGGATACTAATATCTGTACCATGGAAAGTCTCATAAAATCTTTCTAAATTTTCATCCCGCTGTCTAAGATTCAATGAGAATGGTATCTGCCATAGAGATTGCAACACTTACAATGAATATGAACACAAGAAAATAAGTCACATAAACCTAATATTTAACAGAGAAGTCCATCAATATAGTATCTAAGCCTTGCCCACATGAACAGTACATCAATCAAATATTTCAGAAAAATAATTACGGTTCAGAAAGTCCGAGTTAAAAGGAACTCAGATATAACTTACATAAACAAATATTGATATGCTATTTCAAACTGAGACAGAGATTCCAATTAGTTTTGTGGCATGGTATAATATTTTTAGCAAAACTACAAAATCGTACCCAGATATTCCAGAGTCTAGACCACTTCATAGCATATGCTCACAAATATAAATAAGAACAGACAACAGACAGAAAATATGAACGAGGAAGCAGCCATCGCTAAATAACAAATGATTCCAAAAGGTATCAAAACTGATATCATGCTTTCCGAGCTAGATTTCATACTAATAATACATTAAGTGCTAAAATCCTCTTCTTCAAATTCAAATTCCATTGGGTTTACCAAGATGGATTTAGACGAGAAAAGACATTTTAGATGCATAAAATCATACAATAGAAAAGGATACCTAATATAATGTATGAAACAACTATTAAATCATCAATTAAGAGCTTATGGCTTATTGTTGGATGCCTGTCCACAAATCAGATATTGAAGGGAATTTCACCATAATTAAGTGTGATCCTCTGTGAAAATCATATGACAGTTACGCCTATCTGTTTTGAAGCTTAATTTTCTTATTTATGCCACAATATATAAAACTCCCATTTGAGTGGCTCAATCTATTTTTCCTGTAGACTAAAGATAATAGAATATTTACAGGCATGCCACAAAATGATTCATCTCAAGAAATACCAGAAAATAACTCTACTCAAGTAAATACACAAAATAATACTGCTTTCAATTGACACTATTTCATTCATTCGCTATTGATACACTACCTCTGATGTACCCGAACCAATCTTTCCAGAAGGTTTAACCTCAATGGTCCTATTCCTGTAACAAGCCAAATCACACAAATCATGTACACTTGTCCTAATGTGAGCCAAAGAATTTACAAAAGTCATGACGGAACAATTTCAGATTTTTTCACTAACACCAGTAATCTCCTTACAAGTTAGAGTTAGCTATAGAGCATCCTGAATGAAAGTGAAGGGTCAAAGGTAAATTTACCACTTTCACCATGAAAAAAGTTTAAATGATCATACAGTTACATTCATAAAGATTTATCCACTGCAGATCATAAAATGACATGTACTATTAGTGGATTATAGGCACGATAGGGAGAACAATTTAAATCCCATTACAAATTCAGATTGATCTGACAAAATACAGGGTTTCCACAAAACATATAGTATGTAAGGATGACTACCATGGTTTACTAATTCAAAGAGATCATATGTTTGGCCAATTTAATATGGTAGAAACCATTGTCAATTATACTTTAGCCAAGATTTGAAATAAAAGAAAAACAGTGACAACAATGAACAGTGTAATACTAAATAGGATCTCCAACATCAGAATACTGAATTAATTTGGTCTTTTTGAGGCAACACTGCATTATCCATTGTTGAATAACTAAAAATCTAAGATATTCTACTATGCTCATCACTTACACACAAAATTTTACGAATAAAAAAAATGCAGAATTAGTAATTTCCCCAGAATACACAAATTATTTTGAAAAGTCATTTGTTAAACAATTCAAAGTAAACTTACACAATTGGGATCGGCTTAATAGCGCCATAGAATGATTCAACAACCCCAGCTGATCCTCCACGAACCTTCAATAAGGCATCAAAACAAGTTTCAAAATCGAAACTCAAAACAACAGACATGATTGAAACTAAAACCCAATAAGAGTCCACCTTTGGCTCTGAACAAAGGAGAGATTTTGATCATAAAGTTTACACCTTTTGATCGTTTAGCGAACAATGAAACAAGAGGGTACCTGTAAGTTGACGGATCCTTTGACAGTAAGGCGAATTCCATAGTGGGAAATTGAAGAGTGAGTTTTGACAACGATTTTGCCTTCCAGAGCTTCCTGAAAATTCAAATCAGCAACAATGTTTTGAGAGACAGAGAGAGAGGGAGAGAGAGGTGTGGTTTTACCGAAGGGCGATAGATACGATTGGAACGAGAGAACTTGAGTTCAACAGACATGGCTGGCAACTCCCTACTCAGTTTAACCGTTTTTGTCAGGAGAACCTACCATTATCATTTCACTCTATTAACACATTTTACTTTCTTCTCTCATTTTTCTTTTTCTTTTTTCAAAATATTTCTTATTAATTTGATTTTTTATTATTGTACAAAGTTACACAAAAAGAAAAAGAAATATGTGAAAATTTAATAAATAAATAGACTAATTAAAAATATGTGAGAAATAAAATAAAAAAATGTTTAATTGTATTATCGTAATTTTATTATTAATATAAAATATTTCGTCTTTATAGATGATTAATTTTTATTGAAAAAACTTAATTTGTCATTTTTAATAGAATTTCTCCACTCAATCATATTAAAGATAATATTTTTAAAAAAATAAGTGTTAAAAAAATAGGATTGAAAAAATAAAAAAAATATTTTAAAATCAAAATTTAATAAAATAATCAGTTAATAATTTTAATTTAATCAATTAAAAAACTAGGTTCAACGTATAAAAAATGGTTTAATCGATTATTAGTATATTTCAATTGTAAATCTATGTTTTTTGATTTATATAATTAATTATATGACTTATATAATTAATTGTTATTTTATTGTTGTTGTTGTTGTTATTTTAGAGCTTTGGGGATAAATGGTCGATAAGAGTTAAATTGTCTCTAAAATAGTCTCAAGACTGAGTTAAGTTGATTCGACTTAAAGAAGGGTATATAAGATTTTTATAAGACATGAATCTCATAATTTTATGTTTTAAGAAAATCTAGAGAGAAGTTAGAAAGAAGTTCTATATGGAACTTGAATCCTTCTTCTTCCTCTTTTCTAATTCAAAATCCTTTAATCCTTCCCTACGGTTGAATGTTCAAAGCTTGTGAAGCTGAGAATCTAAGTTTGATATAAGTTGTACGACAACCTTGGAGACTTTGAGTTTCTTCCTCTCCCATTGATTTATGAACTTCTTGAGGTATAGGAAACTTTGTGTTTGATCATTATTGGAATGTGATGATTTTTTGTTGTTGATACTCATCAAATGTTGGCTGTTTTGAATAGAATTCCATGAAAGTGTGGTTTGCTTGAGTTTTGGTTATAAGAGGTGGTTGTAAATGAATTGATTCTTGTAAATCTTGGTTGCATGTTGCTTTTGGAGTTGTTTTTGAGTTCTATATGTTGCATACAAGTTGAGTTACCTATTGCATGTTGGTATTTGCTAAACTTCAAGTGAAATGAGGCAAAACGAGTTTCTACCAATTGCTAAACTTGTCATCACACATGGCATGGCTTAATTAAAGGGTTCTAAACTCTAATGACATCGAATGTAGAATTGGTAACGTTGGACGTGATGAGAGATAATTGTCTTTGTTTGAGTTGACATCAAGCATCAATGAAGTGAAGTGGGGCATAAGTCAAGCAGAGACCCTCTACCTGATTGAGGTCAGGTGTGGAGTTTTATCACACAAATCGCGAGAAACTCAAAGGCTCTCTACCTCATTCATGTCAAACGTGGGTGTATTGGAGTTGGACATAGGCAAGATAGAAGGCCCTTGTCTTAATAGTGTTGGGGGCATTAAAAATGGTGTCGAGTGTGAGTTGTATGATAAAACATGATATTTTAAGTTGATTAATAGATGAAGAGTTATGATTAAATTATGTGGTGAACGTTGTATGATTATAACTCATTATGCATTCGGTTAATATAATGTATTGTGATGTTTATGTTGTCAAGATGTAACCTGAAAGATGATTAAGTTGCAAAATTGTACGATACTATAGTTAAATAAGTTGTCAGATATGTAGTGAAGAAACATTTCTTAATTGAGATACATAAAAACTAGAGGAAATTTATGTTGTTTAAGTTGTTCCCTCTAGAATTTATGTGAAACAATATGGAGGTGTGGTCGATCCATATTGTAATCAAAGTGACCAATCGAATAAGGTACAAGGTTGAAGCTTAATCCCTAACTTAGTACTAGAAGGGTGTAGTATTTGGAGAATATTTGGTGGGTCAATTCCATAAGAGGCTTAATGTTGCAAGCTAATGTCGTGGTGAGCTCATACTCAAGTTGTTCTATCCTGACAGGAATACTAAACTTCTCAATTTAAGTGATGAAACTTGAGAAATTAATTTAAGTTGTATACTTGACACTTTGAGAGACCTAACTCTGTCTATACAGAACCTGATTGCAATAAGTCAAGCATTATGGTTCGATAGATTCTAACCATTTAGATTATTCATTTTGTTATAGGAGATCTCCTTAGTTGATACGTGTGATGTATTAGTTGCTTATTATTGATTGTATTGAGAATATATAGGTGTAATTATATGATGAAGTTATTAAGTCGTTTGTGTTGTAAGTTGTCGAGTTGTTTATGTGATAATGTTGTTAACAAGCTAAAAGTTGTGAAGTTTTGAGTGACATTGAATGTTGATTTAGTTGTTTATGTTATATTGTTGCAAGCTGTTGTTGTGAATGTTTTGATGATTTTTCAATAAGTTTACCCTTTTTCCTTGTGGTTGAAACTGCAATGATCATATTTTGTATGGAAGTAAGACAGGATGGCTTGGATGGTGGTGGATGGTCACATCAATAATGACCCCCATTTTGTTATGGCAAAATATTGTATATGCATTTGATTGACAGATAAGGTTATTTTGTATACAGTTGTGTAATTTATGTGGATAATATATGTGTACAAGGGGTGTATGTAACCCCATAATGGAATTTATGATATATTTTAGTTGATTTTGTTTCATGTCCTATGCATGTATATATTATATGAATGATCAAATAACTATTGCATGAAAACCCTTGTTCCTCAGGTAATTGTGTAATATTCTAAAACTTTTGATACAATATTATAAATTTCCTTATTATTATCTTTTTTTAAAATAATATTTTTAAAATTTTAATTATTATATTTAAAATAAAATAAATAAATGCAGATGTTTTATTTTTGATATCTTATATTTTTATTTATTTCCAGTAGGTTAAAATAGAAATATTTACTATTTAATTTTATTTTCAGAATAATATTTTAATTATT